AAATTCAAAACTTTTTTTTTTTTAACTACATATTTTCCATGACATCACTATTTAAAATACATTCTTTCCTTGAGAACGTGCATCAAACATGGGCTTATTCTTGCTTTTGCCTATTGAAGGTGATTTTTCACATGTAAAATTTGAATGTTCTCTCAGAGCGTTTCTTTGAGCTAGCCTATGTTTGGCTCTTTTTTACAACTCAAAGCCATTTATTTCTACACATTTCAAGTACTACTAATTTATCCACCACTCTTTTCGATCTATATATAATTTAAACCGTTCATAAACACTTCCCGAACATACTTTTAGACGAAATGCGCTTGTATTATTACAAGCTATGCTGTCCCTAATGTTTGCTTTGAATAAAGCTTATTAAGTTGATTCAGGATATGTAAGAACACTGTAACCAGGTGGTGTTGTGAGGATAACAGTTGTAATCTGTGACGAGTCTTTGGAGACAGATTTCAATTTTCACGAACTCTTCTATTCAATCAGTTTCATAACATTTTTTTTATATGCATTGGTTGATGTCCTATATACAAACAATTTTGTATATATTTCAGGATGAGGATGACAGCGACGACTCTGATGATGAATCTGATGAAAGTGATGAAGAGACACCAAAGAAGGTAGTGTGTAATTTCTTCCATGGTTTTCTTTCATGTTCCAAATCCCTTTAGGGGTTGTAGTTTACCCATTGATGCTTTTTTTGCTGAAGATTATAGTTTGCNTGGTTTTCTTTCATGTTCCAAATCCCTTGAGGGGTGGTAGTTTTCCCATTGATGCTTTTTTGCTGATGTTTATAGTTTGCCTGTTGATGCTTCTTGCTGAAGGTTGTAGTTAATGATTCTTTATTTTGATGAAGGTTGAACCTAGCAAGAAAAGACCTGCAGAGTCAGCTGCCAAAACACCTTCTACAGATAAGAAGGCAAAAGCAACACCACAGAGAACTGGTGATTTGTCTTGTCCTTTAATTACAATTTATTTTTCTTGTCTACAGAAAGATTATATTTTACATAAAACCCCTGTTCGATAGAGATTTTTTGAGAAGTGATTTTTTTTTTGGAGAATGTGTGCGTAAAAAAGTAAGGAAAAGTTATGAACTCACGTGCATAATTATTTTATCTGAAGAATGTAATGTTGGATATGAGTTTGGAGAAGAATGAGTTTTAGAAAATGGGGCCTAATAGGGACTAAATAATGTACTTGCACAGAGATTCTGTTTTCAGTTTCAAGGAAATGTTTCCAAGCAAACCCAATTTTGATCTGATGGATCATGGATGTTGCACATTATTGAGTCTCATTGCTGACAGGATTTGTATATTAAAACCTATATTGCTTTTACTCTTCAGTCTCTTCTATTCCTCTCTCTGGACTGATAAATGTATAATTTTCTAATGCTCTAGATAGCAAGAAAGGTGGTGTCCATGTGGCCACACCCCACCCCTCTAAACAGACTGCGAAGACTTCTGCCAACAAGCCAAACCAGCAGACTCCTAAATCAGCTGGATCACATACCTGCAAGAGCTGCAACAGGTATGTTTTGAAGTTATTATCGTAGAGGTATTATAGAAATGACAGGTTTGACAACATGTTTTTTTGAATTATCCCTTGCAGGACATTTAATTCTGAGAATGGTCTGGAGTCCCACACAAAGGCTAAGCACAGCGGTGGAAAGTAATTTTAATTGTTGGACGTGTTTTGGGATTTTGCAATGTAGTTGGTGATTTGGCGGAGTTCGTAAGGCAAGTGGTATGTTATATGAGGTTTCGTTCTATGTAGAGTTGAGTGGATTATTTTGGGCTCCTACAGTACAATTATCAAGTTTTTGTGCTTTGTTGAATGGGATTTCAGACTTGTTTACATGAAAATTGTCTTATAACATTCTACTGACCTGCTATTTTGGAGTATCTCTATACTATAAATAAAATGAAATGATACTAAAAGGTAAACGTAGGGGGGTTAAAATAAATGGAAGGTTGAGTTGCTTCCTTTTAGAGTCGAGGGGTTGCAGGAGTTGTAGTCTAGGAGGTTACATTTTGCTTTTATAAATGTGAAAAGTGAATAATACTTGCCCAAAGTCTGGTTAAATTTAGCCCTTGCTTGTTAACTATTCTTCAAAAATTCATTTTTTCTCATGTATTTTTAACTGCACATTCTCACGATGTGATATTTTGCTCGTAAATTCAATCTTCAGAAAATCACAATTTTAAAATTCATTGTTCTCCAAATATTCTTTTTAATGTACATCGAACAAGGGCTAAATTTCTATGACAACAACCTGGGGCTGTTGTTAAAATTAAACAATTTATTTATTTCTAAAAATTTGTTCTGCAAAGGTAAACCTATTAGTCAGAAATTGTTTAAAACAAAAAACGTATTTTTGAATTGTAAAGATTCCGCCCGACTCAATTTTTAGTGCTTTGTTTGGATGAGATTTCTGATTACTGACGTGAATGTTGTCAAACTGGTCGATATCTTTTAGATATGATCTTGCTACATGTACATCATGAATTATATATAATGTTAAATGGTATATCATTTGTTAGTTTGAAGTACAGTCAATTTTTTCATCCGACATTTTTCCTACGCATCATATTATGTAATTTTTTATGTACAATTTTGATGTACAAGTAGCAAAATCACTTCAGATAACATTCTGATACTGTGCTATTATATGTATATTTGTTGATAAGACTGTCTACCCAAATCACGAGTTGACAAGGGTTGAAGATTGATAAAACTGAATGCAACTCCTAAATCTGCCAAACTAAAAGGATGAATCATTGATCAATTTGTTCTCATAACTAGGATAGATCCTCCAATCTGGTGTTTGTATCAAGACATCTACACGGATTATATTAATTGGACTGACCGGCCGGTGGTGGGTTAACGAGGATTCAATATGGGAAGCATTTCTTTCACCATCAGTGTGTCTCCTCTCTAATTCATACAAAATGAAAGCATCCTCGCAGTTTCAAATAGGTTCAAAACCTCATTTTTTAAGGTAACGAAGCCACACTACTTGAAAGGTTGGGGAGGCTGACCCTAATTTTCTCTTAGAAAAAATAATAGCGACAAAAATTAATTGCACTGCTACAAAAGAATCGAACGTTTGTATGGCTACCCAAGTCACAATACAGTTGATAAACAAGCATAGCAATATTTTCATCAACCAATGCAAATTTGCTGGAACTTACGGTACAAATACTGGACAAGAATATAGAGTTTCTATAGCACAACTGGGGAAGAAAGCCCACAAATATTCTTAGATGGACACACCAGAAGTACAAGCCTGATAAAATTAACTGCTAACACATAAACACAATTGTCCTGGTGATAAAACCCATTTTCCCTTGGAATAAACATCATGACAACAAATATCGATTTCTTCAATTTCATCACCCATCAAACATGCTGAATAGGGTAATCTTTCTCCAGAGAGAAGCGCCAACCTGCACACAAATATCACTACAAAAAATTGAGGCATGTTCAGAAGCTGGAGTACCCAACGGTGCAACTTGACAGTTTATTACATAATTCTGCATATAAATATTCATAGAAGATATCGACCTAGATTTCTCAGAACAAACAAAATATAGAAATATAAACCACCAATATACTAAGCCATCTCGGGGACTTTCTCAAAGGATTGGACCATAAGAAGATATACTATGGAGTTTTAGAAAAAAATGAGAAAAGGAGATATAACAAAGATATGCTCAAAGAAAACGAAAAACAAATTGACAAAATATTGTAATTGTAATAGTGTAATATACTTGAGGATTTCTCCCTTCTCAAACGGACAACTTGAATTTTGAAGACCAGTTGATTCTTACAACTAATTGCAAAGTTGATCATTCTCTCACAGAGGTAAATCTCATACCTACCTAATTAATGAGGGTATTCACTAAGCTCACAGTAGATGTTTCGTTACCATTGAAGCGAAATTAGGTTGCAGTTGTATAGAGGTATCTGAACATATCTCGAGGATTCCCTGAAAGCACTCAGGTCCTCTTTTTCATCTCCGACTACTGGATAGTTTCCACAAGCACAGTCCATCAAAAGTTATCTTAGAATGAAACACAACTCTTGTACTTATCCTGAAAGTCCCTAACCAAACATATAGAAAATTGCCTAATAGTAATGAAGGAAAGAAATAAGGAAAATCACATTGTAAAATAATTCTTATTCTAATCGATTGCAAGTTTTTTCTCTAAATAGTCTTCTAATAATATATCAAGGATCTACATCAATAAGCTTCGGAAATTTTTGGAAAAAAATGTACAGATGAAGGCACAGAACAGAATCTGGCTGACCAGGGGTAAAGAAGTGAAATAACCTTTAAAATATTCAAGACAGAACCCACCCCGTTTTTCGTTTAAAGTAAAGAATTCCATTGGATTAGTCAAAAATAAACACACATATTTGAGGGAAAAAAAAAAGGAACAAAACAGAATCAATGATTTTTTCCTGTCTTTTAACGAGGTCAAGATATAGAAGCAATTACAATCCTTGTGTTTCCTGCTTACATCTTAAAACCATAGACCTTAGCACAAGTATAGAGAGAAAGGAGACTTACGATGCTTTTTTCAATTATCAAAGGTTCATCAGTATTCGCTAAAGGGAGAAATAAGCAATTATGCTTTTTCGATATCTCAGGACAATGAACTTTGTTCCCAACAAACCAAGTTTAGCATAAGAAATTTCACTCAAGGATAATAAAAATGAACAAGGCAGACAATTTTGATTAAAAAGAACAAGAGAACAAACCGTGAACGCTGAAAGCAACTTGATCAGTGGTTGTAACTTTCATTTCCCTGCTCTGGTGAGCCTGGTGACCGTATATTCTTGTGATTAGACTGGCTTTCACTATGTTCAAAGCCATTGCTATTGTCATTGACGTTACCCCTAGCAGATTCAGCCTGATCTCTTTCCCTATTCCACTGCTCTATTTTTGCCCTTCTCTCCATACTGCTTTCCCTAACTGGACTCCTGTTTCTCTTTCCCCCAGGACTTCTGCTTCTTCCACCTCTGCGAACAGGACTTCTGCTTCTAGGCCTCCTGCCTTTATCATGATGGCGGTGGTCGTTTCTTCTTCCAGAACCATGGCCACCACGTGAATGATTCTCGTAATCATGCGGGTGAGGACTACGGCTTCTGCTTCTACTGCGGCCATGCCTTCGTCTACTCTTCCCAAATAACTTCCTCCTCAGCTCTCTTCAACCAATAGACAAAAAAATAAATTGGCAACTTACATCGTAAATGGCGAGAGAACACTTCAATTTCAAACTAACCGGTTTATCTTTTTCAGATGCATGAAATTGCAATATCCACCTCGATTGCATTCATTTTCCTCATACTGCCTACACGTGGCTTCACGAAAATCCGTCACAGGGGAAAAGTCAACAATAATGGGACGCCCTAAAAGTTTCAAAATTTATTCCGGTAAGCCAGAATGAAATCAAGCAGACAATAATAATTTAATGTAACTGTTGCTAATGTTACAAAGCGATGCAAGTCAAACTAATAGAGCGAAGCAATTAAAAAAATAAACAAAGTGAACATTTGTTTGTATTTTCTTAAAAAATTAGGTCCTGCAACTTTTTAGAACCTGCTCTTCTTTCACCAGCGCAACCCAATGATAACTTCCTTCGACAAGAATGTCTAGTCACAAGTACAGAAATTGTATATCTACACCTTCTGTCAAATTAATTATAACAATCATGCTACATGTACATCATCTCTTACATCATTGTTTACATTGTGCCACGTAGCAACACAACATTGGACAGTTTTTTTTTTTGAAAAAACCAATTTTCCTGCCCACACTTTTTTGAAAACAAAGGGGATGTAAACAATAATGTAAGGGAATGAATGAACATTTAGCATTATTGTAATTATATATAGACAGAATGTTTTCTGAATAGATTTCACCACTTTGAAAGAAGAAATTTAACAGATGCAATGACATAACTCGAGGTGGCAGCAGATAATTTGATGGAAAAGCTTATTGTATTTAAAATAGTCCAATGATGGAATGTCATGTGGCATTATGT